TTTTTTCCTGTAAATGTGCTTCACAAGCTTTCATTCTGCAATCCACACAGCTGGTCATCTTTCTTTTTTGTTGTGTCTAAAAGCAGCCATATGTCATCAGCAGCCCTCTCATGTATATTGAACCTCCTTAGCACATCAGCTTGTCTCTTTGAATGTGTTACCTGATGTCTTTAAAGTGGCAAAACACAGAAAAGTGGGTCCTCTTGGTCCTTTGTTCATCAGACCAGCAAGAGTCAGGAATATGGCAGAGACGGGGTGTTTAGGCCCTTGGGCCATATCTATTCTAGCTTTGCCTTTTAATTTCTCCTTGCTTCAGCTCAACTAGCAGAATATGACTCGAATCAGCTCTACACTATCCAGTAGTAAGTGTGGCTATCCTTTATCGATAGGGAAGCCCCGGGGTTACTGAACGCTGGTGTGTTTGGTGTTCATCCATGGCAACTCTGATTCTCCAGCTCAGTCTGTCTGTTCAGGTGCTTTATTGGTGCTCACCATTTTTAAGATGGGTGGTCTTCTCTAGGAATTAACAGAGACATAACAACAACATTTCTGCTCAAAATGTTAGCATCAGTACTTGAGAACCATTACAATGTGTCTGGCAGGATATGCGCATAACAGAGAAGGTTATTTATTCTAGGAGAGCTAGATCAAACGGGTAAGCTTTAATGAAAGTTTGGAAAGCTTTTGGTTCGGGAGACACCCTTAATCATTTCTAAAAGCATGCTCAGTAACCTTGGTTCTGCGGTTCTGTATGTGAAGGTCCCTCCTCTCCTTCACCATTTAGCATGGCTTTATATAGTTAAGAGATCGAAAAGGTTGTGATGTGATGAGATGGGTGATATCTTAGGTAACTAGGACCACAATTTAAATGGAGCCCCTACCAATGCATAGTCTATCAGGGGAATATGCTCATAACACTTTCTGTTGCTGTTGAATTTTGAAACTTCTGGAATGTAAGTGGTTTCTCTCCTTCCTAAATGTGTTGCAGTCATCACTTAGAATTAGAAGTGCATCCATTTTGGAGCTCAGACCTGTGTCTGAAGCAGGAGCTTATCATCTGTAGATAGAGAACTAGGTGTTTTGCGGCACTGGTATTTGACCATCCAGTAGCACTGAAGAGTTCATGAGATACCCATGGTTACCTTGGCAATAAAGTGATGAGATATGCTCGGTAGAATGGAAATTTTTAGAGGTGGTGAGATTTTCAAAGCTCTTTCCTTTTTTATGAACGTTAACTCATTTGTTACTGAGATTCATGTTTAAACAGACAATTAAGGAATGCTTTTAATAGGCTGAGAAAAGTTAAAGGATGTCAGTGTATTCTTTAATCCTGCCATTTGTAACAATCCGTAGCATTTTGTACTCATTATGCTTTTTAAGGGTGAATTATTTAGATTCTTTCACCTCCTGATCAGAAACTCCCCTCTGTGTTCCTTTGAATTCAGCTTTCTAAATAAGAAAATAAACTAATCTTATATGAATTTATAAACTGTACCTCAGTCTGAGTAAAATTATTGCCTACGTATACATAAACTCCCAAGCCTAAAAGCAAATCCAACTACGCTGGGTGTAGATGGCACTTAAACACCACTGTTTATTATCATTTAATTTATTGGAAGCAAATCGACAACACTTACACAGAAAAAATACTTTAAAATCACACAGACGACACTGAAGAGCCATCATGAAACAGCTTAAAATCTTGCCTTCACATTTGCGATGCATTTGGCATGAAATCACGATCCTTAGATGTTCAGAGAAAAAGGAGCTCCGTGGTACCCTTCTCCCATACATACCTGTGTATTTAAGGCTGTAATGACACTAGCCTGCAAGAGATTCGGAAAGCACGGAAAGCTGTGACCTGTACCTTTAATTCATCTCAGCTAGTTCCATGCTGATGAAGTGATCTATCATCATTGCTCCCATACTAGAGCATATATTCCTACAAGAAAGTTTAGCCACTGCAGGGGTGACTGGACTAACACCGCCTGGCATCCAGCAGTGTACAGACTAAACTATAGTTTTTAGTTAGGGAATATGGAAACTGACAACAAATTATTACTTGTGGTCTTTTTCCAGTTTTCAAGTGCAAACATACCGAAGTTTATTTTAAATCTGAGCCAGTCAGACATTTAGTAATATAGATCAAAGAAGAAACGAAGGCCTCCCATGCTTATTATTTCAATATGATGTCTGTTCTAATAAAGTGTAAGAATGCCTGTGATAGACTAACTAGTAGGAATTTTCTGGTTCTGTAGTTTAGCCTTAAATATATACATATATTTGTAAATTAATCAGAAACATATTGTCGTGGTTTCAGTTCCTCGGAAAGCTGATTGTTTTCAATCCTTTCTTTAATCTTAGAAATATGGTGGCAGTCTGCCAGCACACTTTCAGATAAACAGTCCACTTCACGTTTAAAAGCCGTAGAATCACTGATGTTGAAAGGGGGGAAAAATCAACAGCAAACAACACCAGTTCTCTCTCTCTCTTCCCCAAA